TTTACTTTTTACTTGAGGGCGACTAAAGAGGCAGGTGAGTAAACACCTGATAGCCGGTCTGAGCATGGAAAAATCGTACCTCACCAACATGGTGTTGGGTAGCCCGCTCGCGGCACTTCCTCAGATATTCTTATTCCACATTCTCACACTCTTTCTCTTGAAAGCACGCAGTAAACCGTCAGCGATAGTTGTAGAATAGATCACATGCTACAAAATAAGATGACAAGCTAGTAAATGAGGAGACATCCATGGACTATCGTTGACAGCGTTAGTCGTCACTGATTGTAAGTCAAATAGTGAGCGAGTTGATAATTTTCCCTTGGGATGAGAAATAGAACTAAGGTGTTTTCGATAGATAGGTTAATCGAACCGACGTTCCTACGGAAGTCGATTCTAGGGAGAAGCTAATGTAACAGCTCAGGTTGGTTGGTTAAGAGTTGACCCCAAACAACCAAGCTTATGCCAAAACAGTATTGTTCAAGTATTCATTCACTTCCTTATTTTTCATAAGCGTTATATTCCCTATTATCTTGAATGTTGAGAGCCTTTGTTTGTCTGAACAGATAATCCCACGCTCCACTGCGACTGCGCAAAGATCGAAATAAAGACCTATTCACTACTTCTCTGGTTTCTTCTATCAATAGCACGAGGGTTACCTTAAGGCACGAAAACTCCACTGGTGATTGGTCTAGGGGACGAGAGACAGTCATTGTACTTTACCATCTGTTTACGTTCTGTTAAGAACGAAGCAAACCATGAGTACAGTGGGTTGTGTATTCCGAAGGACTTTAGTTTGACGAGTAGCCTTTTGTGTGGGACCTTATCAAAGGCTTTCTTAAAGTCTAGGAATAGGACTGATACAAGGAGTCCGCTGTCTCGTTTCAGAGTTATATCATTCAGGTAGTCTACTAGGCATGTATCGCATGATCTGGACCTAAGAAATCCATGCTGGGAGGTCGACAAGAGATTGTTAGTTAATAGATGTTGGACTACAGCCGCCTTAACTACTTTTTCCATCACTCTGGATACCACTGAGGTTATGTTTATAGGCCGGTAATTTTCAACGTTTGCTTCAGGTCCTGTTTTAACTTTGGGAATGATATGTGTAGTTTTCCAGGCAGTAGGGTAACACGCTGAAGAGAGTGATATCGCGAATAGTTTGAGAAGCAAAACACACATATCATCACCTCCACGTTTTAGCATGCTAGATGGAATACCATCTGGTCCATCAGTGTAGGAGTGTTTCAATGTACTGATTGCTTTGGAGATATTTTGTACACTGAATTCTACATTAGTAATTTCACAGGGAGTTACTGGGATTGGTTCTGAATCATTAAATGGTTTTTCGTTAGTTAGTGAGAAACAAAAATGTTCACTGAATAATTCTGTGATAAGTTTGGGATCTTCGTATACTTGTTTGCCTTTAATGAATATACTCCCTCTCGATTTAGAGCGTTTAAGTTTATTTTGGAGTAGTATGGTGAGTGCAGAGGAGTTATTATTAGTCGTCTAGCTTACATAAAATCATAGATCCAACTATTAAAATAATATTTTTGTCATAATAACTATCAGCAACTTTAGGCCTAAACACACAGTCGTCCGTGACAAAAATCGTCCACGAATTTTGTTTCAGTTAGAAAATAAAATCAATAGAGTTGACCTACGTGATAATCTGCATTTAGTAAACAGTATTCAAGTTCACATCAATTATTTGTTTATTCATGATCAATGAAGTTTGAGTTGTTAAGGATATCCAAAGTATCCCCAGAAAACTGCCAGAGGGACCTTGAAGATGCTCGAAAACATTTTACCCAGTCAGCGTTGAATAGAAGCTTCTTGAAGCCATCTGGCTGAGTAATTAATATTCTTCCAGAAACGCTTACAAATACACTCGCTTCTCTTTACATAAACTAAACTTGGAGTGAAGATTTAAATCACACATCGCACCATTTTACTTGACGTTGCCATGTGAATTTAGGTCGCGGTTACGATAATCATCTAAGGAATTGATTTAAGAGCTAAATTAGAAGACAGGATTGAAGACGGAGAAAACCACAATGGGTATTTCTGTCGAGCAATTAAAATTATACGTGAAGCGTCGGGAGAAACGATTTTATCAGTCTAAATAGGGGTCATAAAAGCCCTTGTGCAAAATATGTGTCTGTCTCAGCTTAATCGCGCTCCCAGTGAACCGCAAATAACACAAACCTATTACGTCACTGACAGCATTCATAAATATTACTTCGATAGCCCAGCCTATGTTACTTTTTTCCCATTGTTTAAGAAATATGAAAATCCCCCCTCACTTTCAACTTTGCACACTGAATGAAGATTTAAAAGCCAGAACACTGTTGAGATACACTGGAAAGTCGTAGCCAAGGAAATAACAGTAAGGAGAGAGGTATTTTTGACAACCGAAGTTTATGAACTTCCTCCTTGAATTGCAAAAAACAAGCTGCTAGATGCGATTTCGGTGATTGAATCTATGTGCAGCTGCGTGATTGAAGAATTGTACGAATCAACATGCCAGGTTTGAAAAGAGAGCTGGATGAACTTGATATGCAGCCGGTGAATATTTCTAACACTTTGCTCAGTCGTCATGATGAAATACTATCTCAGAGTTGATCACACTTGCGTTTGTTCAATAGTGATTAAATTTCTCTCAAAAATATGAAAGGTGATTCAACAAGGAATAGCGAAGCAAACCACTTAGTTGAGAGGAAATCGGGCAAATGCTTATCCCATAGGAAATTTCATTTTCGTAATTCATATGCATTTTGTAATGCCCAATGTTTTAAATGTGGTAAGATTGGACATATTATGTTGGTATTCTAAACTGCTGTTAGTTTTACTTCAAGTAATACTAAACCTTGTAATTAAGATTCCCTTCATTCTAGGAATTCTAACGATCATCTATCTTTGTCCACCATTTCGAAAGGTTATACTCATAAGCGATTGTATAAGTCCCTTGCTGCAGTTCACGACTTCATTGTGGAAACTGGTATAATAGAATCCATCATTTCATTCAGGAACCTGAAACCTTTAGTTTCCAATGTCATGATGCGACCCACCAATGTCTCAGTTTTGGAGATTTCTGGACATAACTACCCATACGTGGACGCTGTGAATTGCTATTAATAAGTGTTAATTCTTCATACATGCCTTGTGGGTTTTTAGTCAGTGAAACATGATAGATAATAATGGAAGCCAATCGTAGTGCCTTCACTACTGCGAGGAATTTCGCACGCGTGTGCTCGCACAAGTCGGCCACTGAGTGGCAGAACCAGGCTTCGATGTTCTCTGGCCAGAAGGGCATTAATTGAGAGGGAGGTGGTGACATAGTCTTTAACTTACGAACCTTAGGTATTTAATCCGTCATGGTGAGATATCACGTACAAGAATGGACGAGGAAATATTTATATATATATGTCCAAAAACACAGAAACCGATATCACAACATATAAAAATTAATGTGAATTAATGAGGTGTAAAATCCCAAAAAGGAACTGACCAACACTTTGCATGTTGATGTATCAGAATTGGGCGGCCTGCTTGAGCATCTGGGCTACCTGTTCCTGTCATCTAAATATTTCAACAAGTTATCTATTTTTGTTTGTTTTAATATATCATTATGTATATTAATCGCATAACCCATCCTTGTGCATTTCTGAAAAGTTTACAACCTTTCGTTGCCAAAGTTACTAAAAGCTCAATAAGAGATAATGTGGTCGCTGGCAATATGCAGAGAAAAGAATATACATTATTCAGATGTTTATTTACTGGACTGCTAACATCTAACTGGCTATCACTCAATATTTATCGTCAGGATCGACCCAGAAGAAAGAAACGGAAACTTGTTGAAATACTTTGTGCTGAGAATTCTACATTGTACCGAAAATATAATATTGAATAAAGCTTATAATAATAAATAATAAATAAAAAAAATAAAAATAAATATCAGGCTCATAAATGAAGATGCCATATGCATCCGGAGTTTGACAAAACTTTAGCCAGTAACACCTAATATGAATCGTACCCACCAAGTGAAATCAAAAACAGAAGCGAGGAGGTTCGATGATATATTTGATAGGCTACCAATATATCGAGGATCGTCTGATCTAATCTGGCTAGCGATTGCAGGGGTTGTTGATCACGGCGTTCCCACTAGTGATCTGGTGCAAATCCATGACCGCGCGCTTTCAGCTAAGTGAGTCCAGTAAAACTAATGTGGTCAGCATAAAATTTTGAAGAGTTACAAAGCTATTTGTTTTAGGGATTTACTACCGCTACACAGTTCAATGCAACTACACATTCAACAAAATAGATACTACCATGTTCACTGGAGTATACACAACTTTAATGAGAATCAAGCTTGAGAACTTCGTCCAGGCTACAAGCCTCTGTTTGAAAGGTGACTTGGATATCCTAAAAAATGCACAGAGGGCTGCTAGCCGTGCAATCCCAGAACTCCGGTCTTTACCATACAAAGAGGCGCTTGAAGAGCTATACTCCATTACGCTGCCCTATCGTGGAATTAGAGATAAGCTGATTTTTGATGTATAAAATAATAAGAAATGCTTTTGAACCTAATGAATGATCTCCATTTCCTCTCACTGGATCAGGACTACTCAGGGGACATAGCAGGCGAATAGAAAATCCAAGAATGAACAAAATGCCCGTATCATACAGATATTCACATCTAGTTTTCAATCCGTGGAACTTGTTACCCGAAGCAGTGGTGTCTACCTCCTCAATTGGCTCATTCACGAGAAGACTAGACACACTCAAAAGCTTACTAGAAAAATACTATCACGGGCCGTAAATCTCCTGTCCTAACTACATAATTCTGAATCTGATATGAAACTGTTGTGATAGTTTTCGTTTAAAAAGTTTTTCCGGAAACTCCTTAAGAGAATATTGATCTTCGATGGTTAACAAGCTACAATAATTAACTCAGCTCAACCGATTTATTACCCCGTGTGTGTTTTGAAAATTTACTGATGGCTCAAGGTCGTTAGTGTGTATATTTTGCTGGGGTTTGTTCTTCTCATAAAAAACTGTCTTTCCAATGTTGATGGAATTCTCCCCACAGTTGTAAGACTTTGTTAATAAAATGCAGGAAACTGAAAATTCTAACGACCCTGATAAAAACGTTAGTTTTACTAAATCTGGAAGTCTGGGTGCTTAGCCGCATACTTAATCCATGGGTTTCGTCGAGATTCGGGAAACCGTCATCAGTCTTTAGTATGCTAACGAATATGCACATTAATGAAGAAGATCCAAGTGGTTGATAATAGTTTTTAGTCTCGAAACAATTTAGGGTTCTCGGTAATTAATCTACAGTTGTAGCACTTCGTTGTATTTCATGTATTCTAAGTCATATCTAGGTAAGGATATATAATATTTGGTGGGGTATTCACACTGAAAGATATATCGTAGATACTTTTCAGTATTTTCCATCTGTACTAAAAGCTTATAATACTTTAAGAAGTAAGTATTCTCCCTTACTGACCCCACTGCCTCTGAGTTTTAAAGTTAATTCATGATTAATACAAGCTATTGGTGTTATGCGAATTCATCCAGGTATTTTCATCCCAAAGGCTAGACGCACCTTAAACTCTGAGTAACTGATATTCCGATTTTGGTAGATTAATTCGTTAAAACTCTAAAAACCGAAGCGTGTTTCACACACACTAAAAAATTGTTAACCTAAGTAACATTGTTCGTTTATTTTTGCGCAAGTTTGAAACGTTTGGAGAATTATCAAGCCGAATACTTATATTGACTGAATTGTGTCCATTGTCGGCGGTTAAAGCTGTATATTGTGACTTCAGTCAATCAGTTCTTATCAACGTAGCATGTGGCACACGGGCATTTCCCAGGGTCTCCGTGCAACAACTCCCGTGTACGTTCGTAATGATGAAACTCTCTAATCATGAACTTAGGAATAACTAGTAATCAGTCAAAACTGCTCAAATGCATTTCGTTCTGAGTATCCTATTATTTAATGCTTCGATTTATTATTATTTATTTATTTTAACACATAGATATTGGTACAAGGAGACACCAAATACATATGCGCCACACAGATCTCACTCGATATGTATGGAGGCGGTGATACTGCCCGGGTGCCTAAACCGAAGCAGGTGGTTTACTTACGGGGCCACACCCGAAGCCTTCGATCTGAAGGTCTGATCCACGAGGCAGTGGAGCATCGTGAGGAGATGCAGTCCCATGGAAGCCGGTGACTGACAGTTGGTTCATACGCCATTTGTTCCCGCAGGGTACTGGAGCCGATGTGCACCATTGGTTTGGAATCCGGTTAAAGCGCCGGACATTCGCTTTTCGTCCTCTCATTTTCGTAAACAACAGTAATGCCACGAGAAGGCAGTGATTAGGACTTCCCTGGCAGAGGCTATATACGCATGGCCATGTGAGAGTATTTCAAGAGGGAGAGCGGACTCTCCCCACTCTCGGCCATACCAGGGCGTTTGGGGGCATGCTTCGATTTACTACCTTATGTCTGTTACAAAATGAGCAACTAAAAATATTTCACTTTTGCTTTGTTCGCATGTGTTCAACCAATGTTTGGGGATTCAGTATCTTTCAACACAATAAAAGTCCTATATTATTCGTACTCATAATCAGTATTACTACAAATCAACTTAGTTTTTCTTACTTCTCAAATATCCTCTCAAAACTCTGCCACCAGATTCGGACTAAAACCTATAAACAAATATATCGATAATAGTGTAAATAAAAGCTATATATCTACCAAACACTGATTCTCTACTTATATGGTCTTCTGTAAAATTTGAATTTAAGCCACCAAATGCCCTGGTACGGCCGAAGGTGGGGAGCGTCCGATCTCCTCGAAACGCTCTCACATGGCCGCTCATATACATTCACTGCCAGGGAAGTCCTATTCACTGCCTTCTTGCGGAGGGGGTGTTGTTAACTAAGTTGAGGATGAAAGGCGAGTGTCTAGCGCTTTAACCGGGTCAGTGGATATATGAGATGCATCAAGGGGAGTTCGGAAACCCTGATTCTAAACCAATGGTGCACATGGGCTCCAGGATCCTGAAGGAACAAATGGCATACGAACAAATTGTTGGTCACCGGCTATCGTGGAACTACACCTCTACTGCCTTGTGGTTTAGAACTTTAGATCAAAGGCTCAGGATGTGGCCCCATTAGATAAACACCTGCTTCGGTCTGGGCATCAGGGCAGTATCACAGCCCACACACAAACCAAGTGACTTGTATGGCGCATGTGTATCTGGTGCCCTCTTGTACTAATATTTGTGTGTTCAAATAAATAATCTTTTCCAATCAGTTATTCACCATCATCGTCAAACTGCAAATCTGAACTGGTTCTACTCCCACCCCTTAGTTTACAAAACTAAGCAGTACAAATCACATCTTTACTCTCGAAATCAGGTTAAATGGGAGACCGTACTACTGCGTCTGAACGGTATAATTGATATACAGTAAGCTGTGTTTTTTTTAGTTGGTGAAATATGATATCTAGCGCAAGGTTTCAACTTTTACAGTCTTAACATAACATATTCCACTGTCTTTCAAGAACAGACTGAGTGCGTAAAAAAATTCAGTTGCAAAGAAAACAAGTCCTTACAATTAGCTGTTTTTGCGATATTAAAATGTATAAGGAGCGAGCGTAGCATGTAAGACTTGCTTGTGCAATGCAACATAAGTTCAATAAGATACTCTCAAGTTATCTCAGATTTTAAAATTTATTAGCACTGAATACAGCATTCTCTTGTTGGTAGGATGTATGGTAAGCGAGATTCTTAAGTAAATACGTCATTTGTGTTCATTGTATATCCATTCATTACTCCCCTTACTGTTTGTGTTATGCATTTCTTTTTCGAAAAATCTATGTTTAGACGTTGATATGCTTGACAAAATGAACGACTCTCAAATTGTGGACAGCGGGAGAACAAGTGGATTTGAACGAATGATCCTCATGATGAAAGCAAATCCTTTGATACCTGTTGGTAAGATACACTAAAATTATTATTCCCCTTCCAGGTGTGATTGTCACTGGAGCTCTGCTTATCCGCATGAAGTATGCTAGCCGTAAAGAATTCGGATACTTAATCTATTTACGTCCGCTGAGTCAAGCAATTACATTTTCAATGATTATTTACACCGCATATACTACACCTGAAATTTTTAACAAAAGTTCCTGTAAGTTATCAAAATAAATAGTTTCACGTAGTTCTGTGGATTTAAAGATACAAATAGTGACTTAAAAATCTTAATTATATAATTTTCAGTAGTTAAATGGCTAATGCTTATTTCGGTGTTGCTTAGAAGAGTCCAACCCACGTGTTCAGCTGTAATAAAAGGTCCTTTTCCTCGCAAAGTGACTATACGATTTATATGAACACTTATTTAAAACACGAGTGCTCTTGGTATAGTGAAAGATAAAAAAATAAGCTACATATAACCGCGTCACAATTTTGGTAGAAAATGGAGTACTAACTAGGAACATCCGACATTGGTGCCAATAAATGATATGGCCACCGAGCTCTATATGTGGAACATGTCCATGCCACTTAAGCCAGTGTCTTCACATCGTCTCTAATACACCCAAATACACGTTGCCGAGCCTCAGAACTCCTCACATAATGTTCGCATCAAGCACGAGGAACTTATATGAATTAGTGATGGGACATATAATTGTAAAATTCTTCAGCTCTAAATGACATGATTCCTCCGGGATAGAGCAGAACTCTTATCTCAGAGTTCTTTATCAGGCCTCTCGCAACTCGACGATCGTCGCGTTGGCATGGAAAGGTTATGGAGGCTAAAAAAACTGATGTGGCTGCTGTTAAGCATACTGTAACACTACCTCCTAGACCTTTACAAATTATTGTACATTGACCTTGGTCTTCTAAGGAGCATAGGACAATCTAGCCAAGTCTCCATGGAGAATAAACCACTCAAACCTTTCTAAAAACGTTACAGCCAGCTTTGGTATGGTATACGTATTCGAACTTTTAGGTAGATATCGAAAAGACTATGCAAGATAAATTCCTAAGCGCGTAATGTACACTTAAGAGGTTCATCCTCGTTGCCTTTGTAAATACATAGACTCATGCTTTTAAGGTACTTCTTGGTTTTAAGTTAAGTTTTGTACAGTGTTTCCGATGTAATCAGTGGTAAACTTTTCTACTGGTTATTGTATGAATTGTGTAGGCCTCTTTTAAGTAAATAAATGCATAGCAATCACCTACTCTAGTGTAGTAAGATGGAAATGTATGTGCACTACTGCATCCTATTTTAAGACATAGTCTCAACACCCGAAGTCTAGAATTGTCCAAGTATTATGGAAAGCTGATTCTTTTCCAAAATATTCAAGCAGTACGTTCTCGTACCTCGGTTTACCAGGTCACAATCATTTCCACGTAATTTGAAGGCACTGCTTTGGTTTAAGCAACAAGTATATGTAAAACAACCACCCACAAACCGTTGTGCATAGTAATATAAGTTTGACATATTTGTAGCAACTGCGGTCCGACATAGTATATAGACCAAATTGTGGTTATTAATAACCAGTATATATTTTCATTTTGTCATGACGGTTTGTTATTCCCTACTGCTATGACTTATCATATAGATACTTCATACGCTATTGAAATAAATAAAAACAAGATACTTAGATTGATGTGTGGTAATGAGAGTGAAATGTGATTGGTCGCTGAGCGTGAACAAAAGGGTACTCAGCCTGCTGACTATTAAATATGTGATTTCCCTTCATCTCAGTGATTCTTACTTCGGACTCACTGAGTGATTGCTTGTAATTGTGTTGAATAAAGTATTATCTAGTCTATACTCTAGTTGTCTATTCTGGATCGGGAATCCTGGATCTCATATAACGTGAATAGTCTTATTATTATGTGAACGTATTATTATAACATACGTGAGTGAGAAAATATTTTCAACCATTCATTGTATCGCATATCTGTTTTGTTCTTTACATTTACAACATCCCTCTAGTCGAATAAGTAAATTTTTAAAACTAGTTTTTAAGGGTCATGTACCCAGCAGTCATAACGGGAAAAAACTTGTGTTTATGTATATACACGGACCAGTTCACTATGTAGGTTTTATGCTAACGTAAAAACTGTTGACCCGCATCGACATACACTACCACACTTGTGCTTTGCCGATTTTGTTGAACAATCTAGTTATGGATGCGCTCTGCTGAGGAGTCCCGTTATACGACGAACTAGTTGTTTAGTGCTTTCTATTTTGTAATGGTTTTTTAACTAAAAACCAGTCAGTTATGTAAGCAACAAGTCTCAACCATCTCCACAAAACCTGAAATAGAAAATTATGTCTGTCTTATCTTTATCTACTATAAGTAAATTAAACGATAAATCTAATACAGTGACAGTTAATAGCCCTTGGACTTCAGTAGCAAACAAACAAAACTAATGTACATGTGAAACAGTGTGTGCAAATAACCATCCTCTGTCTGTAATTGCGATTTTTAATTAGTGAGTGATTTTTTGTGACTCGAAATACTACTACCAGATAGATATTATTAGATGCAATACAAGTAATGCATCACACGAGGAATATGAGTAAATATGCTGATGACGTAATCCTCAAAAGCTGTTGTACGGTCGAGGGTACGTAGGTTTCGTTGACAGTAGGAATACTTCCATATAAGCGTTTTTAATCTCTTCTACAAAAGTTCTTATTTCTACGACTTTTTGTGTTGAGTTCAAAAAGGCTTTGACACAGCGAAGCACATGAAGAATCAACCTTCTCTCTAGAGATCCTTTCATACGCCCGCAAAACTACAGTCCTTTCGATGCAAATCTTAATGATAACCTTTCTGCATGCAAGAGTGGACGTACGGTGCTCAAACCCTTTGTAGAGATAAAGGATCAACTTATAGGGGCTGAAACACTTTAAATCCAGACAGGTGCATAGAATTCCCAGGATTCCGAGTAGACGAGCGAAATAGATCACTAAGGTCAGCAATTATCACTCGATCCTGCCTGCAGTTCCGCTGTTTTGGTCCCTTTAATTCCCGTTCATGTTCTGGTTGTGGATGAAATGACATCTTGAATACCTTCAGCACACGCCCTTGACAATAGAGGGGTCTTTGGTCCGTTGAATAGAGCTCTATTGGGATCCCGTTGAAAGGGCGTAACTGGGAGATTTATTACCACCTTAAAGCTACTATGAGAATATATTTCACACAGAGTGAGGCCATACAACCGTCTCTATTGTTCCACAACAACAGTGGGTTTATATATGATTGCCGAGTCCCATCATTCCTATTCAGTTTTGCCATCGGCGACATACTAAAAACAAACCTAAAAGGAACATACAATGTGTGGGATCCAACCTTTCAGTGTAGTGACAGCATTGTCTTAGTGCGAGATTACACAGTAGGTTGTACATTGAGCCCTATTAAAATCCCCAATACAATGCGAAACATACTGTATATGCAAAACACGGTAGTTGAAAGGAAAGTAGAAAGTCGATTTCAAAGCCAATAATAATTTCTTACACAAAAATTACTGAGCACGTCATTATATACGTTATGTATATCTCATGTATTATATTATAAGGAAATAAAAAATATCTTCTCCAAAAACTGAATTTTTACCATTACCTTCATAGAATGGTATATGTCATAAACACATAGAACACTAATCACAGTATTCTTTTACGCTTGTTTTTGTTAAACCAAGAAGGGCTGAGCAAAATAAAATGTAATGGGACTTGAAAAGTGTGCTGGTAGTCAGCATACCAAAAATAATGGAATATGATAAGCAGAAGAAATTAGTAACTTGTTTAGCGTTAATATTAACAATAAAGCTAACGGTTTATTGTTTTTTTTTGTATTGAATAAAATAAAGCCATCTATCTTATAAATACTTCAGAATATATATTTGTATATACACATCTTGTTAGACCAGTCGACTCACATGTACAAGCAGTGAATGCAACAGGTCGTTTACTCCTTAACGATTAAAATGAACATAAAAGCCGTTTGACACACAAACACCAGAGATACGGCATCCATACACAGTTGACACTGCAAGTCTAAAATGACAGTCTTATCGAGTGGGGTAATATACTAATGAAGTAAAAAAGTAACATTAAAAATATTCTTGATAAGTCATATCATCAGCATGCGTATTACATGTTAATGAAACGTCAGGTATCATTCGATAAGACTTCATTACTACACAAACTAGACCAAATTAATTCATTCAAAAATATGTGCCAATCGATATCCCATTCATCTTGGTTGACAACAGATGGTAATGCTGATCGGGAATCATTCATACAATGTCTTAAAAGAAATAAATAACAATAATTCAATATAATAACTAACTAATAACTTGGCTATTTATAAAATCAGTATTACTCCAAATAGTTGATTAAAATACAACTAGCATTGTGAATGGTTCAATTTTTCCTCTTAATAACTGGCTAAAATACAAAGTTGGAAAAGTTTGCAATTTTTATGGCAAATTTAGTGCTTTATGTTAATAATACTGGACTTTATTCTAGTTTAACTGCAAAAGTATACTCAGTTTCAAAGAGTAATCAATATATTTCCAAAATGTTTTAAAGATCCTGAGTGTAATTTATCGAATGCCCCCAAATGCCCTGGTACGGCCGAGAGTGGGAAGAGTCCGCTCTCCCTCTTGAAATACTCTCGCATGGCCATGCGTATATAGCCTCTGCCAGGGAAGTCCTAATCACTGCCTTCTCGTGTAGTGTTGTTTACGAAAATGAGAGGACGAAAAGCGAATGTCCGGCGCTTTAACCGGATTCCAAACCAATGGTGCACATCGGCTCCAGTACCCTGCGGGAACAAATGGCGTATGAACCAACTGTCAGTCACCGGCTCCCAAGGGACTGCACCTCCTTACGATGCCCCATTGCCTTGTGAATCAGACCTTCGGGTCGAAGGCTCGGGGAGCGGCTCCCTAAGAAAACCACCTGCTTCGGTTTAGGCACCCGGGCAATATCACAGCCCTCACACAAATCTAATGAGATCTGTGTGGCGCATATGTATTTGGTGTCTCCTTGTACCAATATCTATGTGTTGAGATAAATAAATAATTTATCGAAATACTTACTTAATAATTTGTAATCTTTAATTGTTTTTTGATCATTAACATATTTCAAACAGAAAGAATGCAGATCTATCAAGACCATGTAAACTTGTTACCGACATTAAATGCTACTACTATTGAGTTGTCAAAATGATTTATTTGTTTGTATTGTAGTACATACACAACACTTTTATGTAATCATTTTCCAAACTTTGTGCTGATTGTTCGACTCCCATTCTGTAGTGGGATGAGTAGTAGCTGTGTTCGTTGAGTCCATGGGTTGAACATGACTATAATTTGGAATTTAGTTTGGTAGTCATTCACTTTCGAAATACATATACGCCTACACGTAAATCAAAGGCGTGAAACACAAAACCTCGTCATATGAGTATATTTACTTTTTTATTTCAGAGATGCGATAATCAACTATGTCAGTTTGAATAGAAATGTGAATGGATTCAAACTATGTACTGCATGAAGAGTGAGAAAAGTAGAATTAAAAAGTTCTGGGATGATTTATACCTTAAAGAAACATAACCTTATATTTCACTAAAACACAGAGCTAAGTTGGGATTTTTTCCAACAATTTCATTTAGTTGTGCTAATGGGGTATGAGAACTTGGACCGCTGTATACATGTGCAAGGTTCTACATTGGGTTTGATTGACCAAACCATCTTAGAGTAGAAAAGCTAGAATTGTTTAGCATGACACATAAACTGGTTGCCGACGACTAAACAGTTGATAGTCTCCAATTTTAGGTAAATCCCTGCTCTGACGCCGCACTGTGTTATTAATGATGGTCCGATATCACTGTCAACCTGACTGTATTTAGTAGGATTTATTCTGAAGTTATTTTTTGTACAGTTATTCAAGTAATATTTAAGTGGAGAGAAGAAAAGCGGAATAAAACTTACGAATTAAAGACGTGTTTTTTATTTGGTTCTTTAGATTTTTCATCATTACTTGACTTTATATGTAAATCTTCCGATAATGACTTTGAATGGTTTGAAGAATTAGGATTTATTGATTTCACTTTATGGTCAAATACTTCCGAAGTGAAAGATTCCAAGTTAGAGTTGGAATCAATCGTTGGATTAACAGCCTGATGACCAGTAGTAGCCACATTCTCGGTAAAAGAAGGACTGTCGGTGGGTCCTGAGTTTTGAATAACAGAAGCAGTTGACGTACAATGGCTTGTATTTCCCGGAGTTTCGACCACCTAAAAAGCACAAGATTAAAAGCCTGTCAAAAAATCTGTTTCAATGTAGAACTCCATTAGGGGAATAGTTGAAAATATAAACATGAGAAAGTATTCACAGATAGAAATAAAATTAACAGCTTAAAAAGGTCATATATAGTAAATAGCGTATAGGATTTGCGTGTACCAGACACATTTGCACCTGACTAATAGTTAAGCTAACAGCTAAGACAGCATCAAAAATAAACATGTGTACGTCGCACAATTTAACCCTAAACGCATTTATTTAATGTACAACACAACTACAACTAATCAAACACACGAATCCCCCAGTTATATCTAAAAGCTTAACACCAAGGGTGAATACAATACCAGATTCCCGTCAACCTTTTAAAAGTTATCAGAGCTGATGTAAATCCAACAGGGAGTCTAGCTGATGAGTGAAAAACAGCATGACACCTAAGTCCAGAGTTTCTCGCCAACTGCGTCCAACTACTTTAAGTTGATCTAAGGTAAATAGCCTAGTAACGGACGTTGATTAATTTAGCCATATGCGATGTAGAACACAGCACATATTTGCATCGATTCAAGTTTTTACACCACGTTAGCACGACAAGATAAGGTTACGAAAACCAATTCTGGAGCGATCAAAGTAGTAACGATATCAACAGTAGTAGAAAATATTAAGTATCGAAAGAATAAAATAGTATAAGGAAATGTCGAGATTCAGGATCCAAATGAAGACAGGGCAAATACACTTGCATCATCGCGAACAATTGTGAGACATGTCATTCAAGATCACTAGAAATCGGTAGTCGCGCTGATTCCAACCAAATAGCTTGCACTTAGCTACATGGGACAGCTAACGGTCAGTGACTTCATGAACTGGTGTCACGTCTTGATTTGGCTACCCCCAGCTTTTTTACAACAGCAAACATTGCACGTCGAGGTAGACGGTGGTTAGGAATACGTGATACATGTCCTAACTCTTCAGTCCATAGATATTTACAATTTCATAAACGGGAATCTGAAGAATGGACCTAATTTTATTTGATTGTTTTGATCGTTGATCATCCCAGTTCATAGAAAAGGACAAAAATTCTCTTGCAACAACTACAGAGGAGTCAATTTGACTAATATAATATGTAAAATACTAGCTTTAGTAATCATTTAACGCTTAACTAGGGGTTGTGAAAAGCGAACGCGGGAAAACCACGCCGATTTCAAACACGGGGGTGGAGGAACAAACTAAGTTTTCGTCCTTCGCCAGGTTCTGGAACATAGACTAAGTTTCTGACCACAGTTGTATTCTTTGACAGCATTCGACTCTATTGATTTTGAGGCTTCGTGACAGTGCCCCATTAAAAGGCATACCAGCTGGAAGCTGGTTTGCTTTCTCCCACAGTAGGCAGTTTCTGATGGTATCCGGTCAACGGATATTGAGTATCTTGCGTAGACAACTGTTTATAAATACTTGTACCTTTTTGATGATGGCTGTAGTAGTTCTCCAAGTTTCAGCCCCGTAGAGTAGGACTCTTTTGACGTTCGTATTAAAGATTCCGACTTTGATATTGGTTGACAGACACTTTTCGGGTTTTTCATTTAAAGAAAAGCGACCCTTTGCCGATCCTCGTCTTTACGTCTGCATCAGGTCCTCCATTTTCATTTATGATACTACTGACCAGGTACCTGAAAGATTCTACACCTTCCAGAGCTTCTCCATCAAGTGTGATCGGGTTGGTGTTCTCTGTGTTGTATTTAAGGATCTTGCTTTTTCCTTCGTGTATGTTGAGGCCTACTGATGCAGAGACTGTTGCTACACTGGTTGTCTTCATCTGTATTTGTTCGTGTGTATAAGATAGAAAGGTTAGGTCATCTGCGAAGGCCAAATCTTCTCATTGATTCCGAGCTGTCCATTATATTCCGTACTTCCCCTCGGATGTCGAGGTCTTCATAATCCAGTCAACCACCAGGGGAAAGGAAGAGGGAGAATAAGCAGCCTTGTCTTATTCCGGTCTTCACGTGGAATGTATCTGTCAGCTGTCCTCCATGCACGACTTTGCGCTGTAGTTCGCTGTATGAATTCCGGATGATGTTGACGATCTTCTCAGGTACGTCATAGTGTCGAATAATTTTCCACAATGTCCTCCTATCTACATTGTCAAACGCCTTCTCATAGTCAATGAAGTTGATGTATAGTGACGAGTTCCATTAAATCGACTGTCCAACGATGATCCGTTGTGTCACGATTTGGTTTATGCACAACCGAACCTTACGGAATCCGGCCTGTTGATCTCAAATTTAGGTGTCTACTGAGTCCATAATCTGGTTCAGCAATATTCTGTTGAAAAGCTTTCCTGTTACCAACAGTAATGTGATTCCTCTGTTATTTATTTGATTTATTTGAACACACAAATATTGGTACAAAGGGGCACCAGATACATATGCGCCACACAATAATAATGAGAATGTGAAGATATAAAGAATGAAAGATGCGTATAAAAAAGTGCAACAATGAACAGAAATTAGTGTATGAGAGTGAAATAACAATAATGGGAAAGAAAGTTTAATCAGCGAAAGTACAGCGACAGAGAATCCTTCCACTTAAAGATTTTACGTCTTCTATTTAGGAAGAAAGTAAAATAAAGTTACAGCGGGATCGCCACTAGCTTCTATTTTGAGCCATATCTCTAGCCACTGTGTTACACGATGTCTAGGACTCCAACTATGGAGTCGTGAAGGACCGACAGAAGCCAGTCCTGTATAGCTTTCTTTCATACCACAAACCATGTTAAACACTGACTACCTCCCCGCTGTTTCCAATCAGTCCCAGCGTCGGCAAATAATGCACGACATGGAATTCCCTGAAACGACAGTCGTAGAAAATGTTCAAGCCACCGAAGTCGGTGTTTCGAGATGGTGATACCAATTGAATTATCGTCTCTGTGCCCGAACACACGATGCTGAACCTCTGCATTACTAACATGGTGTTGCCATTGGATGTCAGCAATCCCTCGGAGACAACGATGATCAAACACAGAGAGTCGTCTAATATTCTCAACTCGGAGAGGCCAGGTTTCACAAATATAGAGTAAAACTGCTCTCACCGATGCGTTGTAGATCCGACCTTTTACAGCTAGACTAACATTACGAAGGCGCCAAAGATGGCCCAGATTGGCATGAGCCGTTCTGGCCTTCACAATGCGTGAATTGATTTCAGGTATCGCACAGTAAGACAATATTATCTACACACTCAAGGTCGAGAAGTATTTCTCCAGGCAGTAGATCTACACCGCCACTACTTACATCCATCAGAGCTGTTTCCATAATATCATCGATAGCACAGTTGAAGAGAAATGGTGGAATTTGCTAACCCTGTGTAACACCACTGCTTGAATGGACCAATGGAGAAAGGTGGTTATATGCTCCCACTCTGTCTGAGGTATTTGTACATAGGACTTTTAAGATGTTAATAAGATCCCCAGGCACATCCTTCTTCAACAGACAATTCGAGAGAACAGTCCTGTCCGACGAATCGAAGGCTGCCCTGATGTCAAGAAACATTACGATTGTTAGTCTTTAATAAATATGACGGTGTTCTAACATTTGGCGGAGGGTGAAGATATGGTTGATACATCCTCTATCAGAAAGAAAACCAGCCTGCCCCTCGCGAGTCAATCTTTCTGAGTTTTGAACAATCCACGAAGAATGACGGAAGCCAGAAGTTTGGACGCGATCGGAAGTAGACTTCTCCGATAGTTCTTGCATGAACCCTTTTTAAAGATAGGGACGATTATCCACTCATTCCATGATATTAGAACACTCTCTAATTGTCAAACCTTTGTAAACAACACAGCCACTTCATTAACCAGAAGGCCGCCATCATCTTCAAAAAGGTTCGGAGGTAAGTCGTCTGGACCCGGTGATTTGTAGCGCTCCAATAGTTGGAGTTCCTTGCGGACTTCCACTTCATTTGGTGGATCAGTCGTCAAAGGCCATGTAGGGCAGGACAGTCTGATCGATGTCGCCGGGGTAGCAGACCAGATAAACTGTTACCCGAAAAACTCTGCCCATCGTCCAAGACGTCGATGGATGTTAGTGATTGACATCCGGTCATCTTTACAGATCGTTTCTCTCACACCAGACCTCTTGCTGCCATGTCGTCCCGTGATATCTTCATACGCGGTGTTGTCCATTCCGACTTTGGCGGTTTTTTTCTACGGGATGGGGTTGCCAACCCCATGCTCAACTCTACTCCTTTACCCGAACTTGAAACCGGTATTAACTCTAGAATAGCTACAGGCGGAGCTATCAGAAGACCCTGCATTTTATCAATGTCCTCAACAAAGAGAACTGTCATTTAAATATTCTAAGTCAGAAAGTGAGTGGTCTCCATATTACTACACTGCATACATTCAAGATAGAAAATTTGCTCTTCACTTACTGATGCAAACATTTTGGTAACAAGCTTTCTTACAAAATGCATAAAACCACTGCCAGGGAAGTCCTACTCACTGCCTCCTCGTGACATTACTGTTGTTTACGAAATTGAGAGGACGGAAAGCGAATGTCCAGTGCTTTAACCGCGTTGGTGGACATGGAGAGTCCACCTAGGGGAGTTGGAAAACCCTGATTCCAAACCAATGATGCACATGGGCTCCAGTATCCTGAAGGAACAAATGCGGTATGAACCAATCGTTAGTCACCAGCTACCATGGAACTGCATCTCCTTATGTTGCCCCACTGCCTTGTGGATCAGCCCTTTAGGTCGAAGGCTCCGGGTGTGCCTACCTAAGAAAACCACCTGCTTCGATTTGGGTACCCGGGCAGTGTCCTAGCCCTCACACAAATCGAATGATTTATGTGGTGCATATCTATTTAGTGCCTTCTTGTACCTATGTCTATGTGTTTAAATAAATAAATTCTTACAAAATACAAATAGATCACAAACTTACTGGACTTCGATTGTTCATATCGCCAACATCATTGTTTAATTCGGATTGTGAATTCAGTGCGTTAATATCATGTTCATAATGTAAGGCAGTAGGAGAAATTCTAGTTATTTCATTCTTGTTATGTAACAATAAGTCAGTTGGTTGGTCAAGTAATCCATTAGTATCATCATTATGACAAACATTTTTATTAATTTCATAACTTTCTAAGTAGTTTTTCATTGCTACTATGCAACCAGAAGTAAAACGTGAATTCGATGACAATGAATGTGATATGTTATGATTCGAACTTATACTATGCTGATTGTGACAACATGATCTATCTGCTGAAGAACAATGGTATTGTGAAGTGATAGTATTAGCATTAATGTTGTTGACATTTTTAAGCCGATCATAGCTGACAGACTGATTCCTAAGTCGTGTACGTAAGCTAACAACTTCAGAGACTGAAGTTTTAGGGTGATTATTGACAGACTGTGATGACTGAATGGCTACAAAAGACAAAAAGAAGAAAATCCATTATTTGAATTATGATCCACACTGTTTAAACAAATAGGACAACAGGAAGAGAATAAATTGTGTAATGGTAGGTAATAATGTTAGCGATAGAAAAAAGTAAATTGAATATCAATTCTATTGATGGTAATAGGTTAGAATTAACAACGATAATCAAACAACAGATCATCCATTACCACTCGTGTTTTTGAGAAAGATTACTAAAAACGAAAGGGAAACAAAAATAACCTTTTACCGAAAGAATGAAAAAAATGTTGTCAGTTATGCTTTACCGTAAAGAAACATCGGAAGAGTTAAAAATAATTCTAAATAAACACGATATAAGTCTACTTTTGTGTAAGTGATATCACTGTAATTTAAAGTCAAGGACAGAATCTTTAAGGAATTACAACAAAATTGTGTTTAGATGTAGTGAATATGATATTTTACACGTAGGGGAAACATCCAGACAGTTGAATGTAAAAGTGCAAGAACACAATGTTTGAAACGTTACTGATATGGTAAGCCAATCAACATTAGCCATATGAGATCATTCAACGGCAATCTGAAGTGACCCGAAGGACAAGTGCATATCATTGGCTAGGGAATGAATTGATTTTCTAAGGGGTATATATTTATATATATCAGAATAATCGGCATAGGAGAGACAGAATGCAGTTACCTACATCATGAGGACTGCTGATTTACAAATAAAAACGATCCCATCTATATCACTCATAACAGGATCCCAACAACAATGAGTGATTAATTATCTAATAAATTACTTCATTTGGATTTACCTCTAATTAATTTTTACATTACAAACTTACTCTATAGTTATTTTTAGTTGACCCATACCTTGATTAGCTTAACTTACTCTTACATATTTTCAGACTTATGTATAATGAATGAAACAATCAACTGGTTACTATCGGTAGTCAGTTGTGATAAATCTTCTAACTGGACGCTCGAATCGATTTCATAAGCTCTTCTAATAAACCCAGGCTAAATCTATACGATAACTTAAACACGTGAGAAAAGGTGCGAAGTGTGAAAAGAACGCTTTACTATAAGATTAGTTCATGTACACAAAATCAAGGGTATTAATAGTATTTCTGGTGGCCTTGGGTTCCGGAGTTTTCTGGAACCATGCTAAATACTGTAGTAGGGTAGGTAATCAATCAATCACAAATGCGACAACACGTGGCTCTTCACTCTCTATATTTTTCTGAGAAACTTCTATTCTACGCTGATTGGACAGTATGTTTCCCATCGTTTTCAGGGACCCTCTGGACTTTTTCGAGGAACACTTTTAATCTCCCCAACACCTTTCCTTTTTCAAAAAATAAGACATATTCGTTGGATTTTCTTATAACTTGTAGCCGGCTTCAGGAGGTGTTCCTTCTTTCTTAGTATCTTTTGAATCCAATTGATTAGCTAGCACTCGCCATATCAACAACAATAGTTTGAATACACACGCATGTTCTATTGGGAATACTATTAACATCAAATGACTCACGTTTTATGTACTGAATCAACATTAAAGCATAATTCGACAAGTATTTGTATGGACTTGTATAAAAATTTGTCTTTCATTGAAACCATGAACCTATCAAAGGTGGATAACTATTGGTAACGTAGAAAAAATGAATAGCTGTTTTGTCCTAGCGCGGGACTCCTCAGTAGTGGGTATACGCGGTCCTGCACACGGGAGTTGAACCCAGGATCTTCAGTCTCGCGCGCGAACGCTTGACCTTTAGACCACTGAACCGGTACTAAACGGTGTTAGTGTCTTTAATAATTTACCTGATAAAGCTTGAACCAGATTGTTAGGCGAAATCTTGGGAGTATTTAAATCCTGGTTTCAAACGTAATTTACAAATATGTCTTCCCTAAATACATGATGTTTATCAAGTTTTCCTTCCAAACTTGATGAATATTAACGTAAACTGTCAGTCAGTCAGTAACAACGTAGAACTTCGTACGTACGTACATCAGTTCAAGTTGCCACACCACATTAGCACAGAGATGCACTTGTCGATTCAAATCCCGTAGTGATAGAGGTAATAAGAGTATAAGCAGTAATCGGGAAGATTAGGGTTTGGAGATGTTATTCAAGGACTATAATCCAGTGAAATAAATTTGGAAAGAGGAAAAAAGGGACATGAAGAATTCAGAAGATTAGAGTTTGGGAGAACACAGAGAGTGGATGCACCTGCGCCATTGCAAACGATTTTGAGCCATGTCATTCAGGGTCTCTAACCATCGGTTGCTATCATCTCGCGGTCCCCAACCAGGTAGTCTACACCTACCAACATGACTCAGTTCACTTGTCAGTGACTTCATGAACTTGTGCCATGTTTTGGTTTGGCCGCCCCTAGCTTTCTTCCAACCTACTCCTATACCACTGAACATAGCACGTCGAGGCAGTCGGTCGTAGGGCATACGTAACACGTGTCCCAGCCATCTCAACTGATGAAGTTTCACTACCCCATCAATTGATTTGCCATCTTTACCTAGTACCCGTTTCCTAACAACTGCATTACTTACTCGATGGTCCCAGGATATACGAGCAATATTTCGAAGACACCTATGATCAAATACCAGTAACCTACGAATATCCTCTACTCTTACCGGCCATGTTTCACTGCCATAAAGTAGGACGGAACGAACTGCTGCGCAGTAAACACGTCCTTTGGTTGATAGACGGTTATCTCGCCTACGCCATAAATGACGCAAGTTGGCAAAAGCTAGTCGAGCCTTCTGTATCCGTGCTGAGATTTCGTCACACACCAGACCACAAGGGCTGATGAGACTTCCAAGATAAGTGAAGCGATCGACACGCTCAATTACTTCAATCCCTATCATTAGTTCGGGTGTCAATGCAACCCAATCCTGAAGCAACATTTTGCATTTCGAGGGAGAGAATCGCATCCCGAACATGCTTGCATTGTTGCTTAGAGTGGTCAGAAGACTCTGCATTTTTTCAGCGTCTTCGCCAAATAAAACTATGTCATCAGCATATTCTAAGTCAACAAGTGAACCTCTCGGTAGAAGTTCAACCCCTGTAAATTTAGATGAGGAGAGTGTTATCTCTAAAAGTACGTCGACCACAAAGTTGAACAAGAATGGGGAGAGTGGACAGCCCTGACGAACACCACTTGAGGTGATCAATTCTGATGACAGTTCGCCATAAGCTCTCACTCTACCAGTTGTGTTCGAGTAGACAGCCTTTATAAGGTTAATGTACTTCTTTGGTACTCCTTTCAGTGACAAACACTGCCATAGAACCTCACGATCAATAGAGTCGAATGCCGCCTTAAGGTCGAGAAATACTACCATTGTGGGGCGTCTGAATGTGTGTCTGTGTTCTAGAACCTGACGTAGTGTGAATATCTGATCGATACAACCACGTCCAGGTCGAAAACCAGCCTGGTTTTCTCTAGTCTGCTCTTCACGAGCTTTAGTTAGGCGTCGAAGTATTGTTGAGGCTAATATTTTAGACACTATATTTGTCAAACTGATTCCTCTGTGATTGTCACAAGAGGACTTTTGTCCTTTCTTAAAAACTGGCACAATCAGTGATTGAGACCAGTCAGATGGGATTACGTCCAGTTCCCAAATTCTACCTAAGACCTCAGTTAATCTCATTGCTAATACTGGACCACCATCCTTAAAAATCTCAGGAGTAAACCTGTCAGGGCCTGCTGCTCTCCCTCACTTCAGATTTCCTATGGCTTTTTCAACTTCGTAAAGGGACGGAGGACTTACATTAACTTGCCATTCAAGTTGACTGGAGATCGTGGGAAACCGAAGTGTGGCTGAAGCCCAGTTGAACTGATCCCTAAAGTGTTCTGCCCATCGATCCAATCTCCTGGATTGAGAATGAATAATATGTCCATCTTTCTCTGAGATTGTTTCGCTAACGGTCGGGTTCCTAATTCCGGTTTCCTTAACGAGTCTAAACAATTGTCTGCTATTACCTATTGCCGCTGCCTTTTCCATCTCTCTTGCTTTCGCTACCCACCACTGTTCGCGATCATTGCGTAGACTTCTTGTCAGCTTGCGCTTAAGCTGACTCCGCTCTTCATTATGTTCAGAGCCAGGTGGAATGAGTTTCCGAGCATCTATCAGTGAGATAGATGCTGCTGAGATCCAGTGTTGCTCCCTAACTTTACGGTTTACCTTACTAGCAGATATCACTGCTGTTTCCACAGCTTTTCGGATATCGTTCCATGCTGCCTCGGGGTGGGCATCACATACATGGCTGCCTAACTGTTTTCCTAGTTGTTCCTGAAATATATTCTTAGCTTGACTATCATTAAGTAGAGCCCTAAGAGGTTTCCTTGCAGGATCTTTCCTACGTCCAGTAAGACGCAAGCGAATACGCGCTCGCACTAGAGCATGATCTGAATCTAGGCATGTGCTCCAGAATGAGCGACAGTCTTCTATCGAGCCCCTCCATCGGTGGCTGATAGCGATGTGATCTATTTGGGTCCAACGTTGGGACGAATTAGGGGGTCGCCATGTTAAAAGATGTTTTTCCTTATGCTTAAAGTTAGTATTTGCAAGGAACAGGCGGTTATCTGAGCATAGCTGCAACAGACGGTCGCCATTATCTGTTCTTTGAGCCACGACACCATAGGATCCACCTAGGTGTCTTTCCTTATCGCTTAGTTTACCTACTAGAGCATTAAAGTCACCGGCCACTATTACTACATCCGAGCGCTTAGCTTTTCGGAGAAGGTCCGAAAGCTTTCTGTAAAACTCATCTTTTACATCATCTGAGCTGCAGTCAGTGGGAGAATAGGCAGAGACGACGAATAGGCAACGACGAGTGTCCCTATCTTTCCGGATTCTTACTGTTCTGTTCAGTCGGACAGCGCACAAACGACTGTCTACTGGGATCCACTCTAAGAAAGCTAGTTCTGCCCTAGGACTCAATGCTATGCCTACGCCGGCGAGGCCACGGGAAGCAGAATCAGGGCTTCCAGATACACGAAGCGTAAATCGAGTCGGTTCTTTATTTTGGCATGGTGAGGTCAAATGAATGACGCTACTTGGATCCTGTATGCGCGTTTCGGAGACACAGCACACATCGATGGCGCGAGATTCTAAAGTTTTAGCTAAGGAAGCCTGCTGTCCTATTTGGCAAAGTGTTCGTACGTTAAAAGCTCCTACGTGTAGTTTAGAGCGTGGTTTCAGGAGACCAGGAATGGCGTCCCACGTACTCGAATCGTTTGCCCTAGCGGTGCGAGGTGATAAAGAGACGTGAGGAGGGTTAGTCGGGAGGATAAGAGAGGTATTAGGAGGTGTAGGAAGGATTTGAATGTGACCACCTTGGTCTCTTGTGCTGTTAAGGGTATGAGGGCTGATGTCACTTCCCGGCTGCCCACACCGTGGAAGGGTATTTCTTGATGAACCTGAAAAGGAAATTGGATTAGTGTTGGTCTTGACGACCTGGGAGCGTGACCGCAGAGCCCAAGGGACAACTGCTTGAGGCCGGTCGCGCACGGCCTTTTTGTGGAAGGTTTTTGACGTGTTAGCTCCGTTCTTCAAGGGGCCTTACCGCCGGAGACGGAAATCCGTGAGGTAAGGTGAGGTGTGCATTTTTAGGGTCGACCTTTTCTAACCCCACCCCTCCTTGTGGGAAGGCAGCATCGCTGTCATGCTGGTTGTCCGAGGGAAACACCTTACTGCTGTCACACCTCTCTACAGTCAGCAGTACGACTTCGTCCTCAGACCTTGAGTTGCTGCTTTTAGTCTTACCGTTCGCCAATCGACCTGCCTGGCATGGTAGAACCTGCAGGAACATATGTTCCAGCCAATATAGCTCGGTTGGGTCATCACGATAGGCAAGCCCGACCACCGCGTCAAGGTAGCAGCTTCGATCGGGAACGTAAACTGTGGTATATAGTTAATGTCTTAACACAGATGAAAAAATAATAACAAACTACAAGATGGAAATAAAATATTATGTTATGAAGATAGTAACAACATAGCTACTGGCAACAAACAGTCATACCTAATGTCTGCATAACAGTATTAAGAACTTCTAGAGGAATTTATAACAGTTTACTCCTTGAACTTTGTGCCGATTTTGTTTAGGAAGTATTAGCTTTGAAAGTAAAACATCCAAATGAAATAGCACAGAATTATCAATTTAAAAAGTAACTTAACAGACGGTAAGCAAACTAGATACGTGTCGATAAACATATCTAATATTCGATGGAAGATTATAATCAGGTAGATTTCTGCCATCATGAGCAGTCTTGAAATAAATTTCACTAAACTGCCAAAATACTGATTTCAACCATCTTCAAAATACTCAACCATAAAGCAGACACTTGTCTACACAGCTCGAATCATTGGTAAGTTACTTCAGGAATTAGTTTGGCTATTTACAGCTTTTCTCCAACCCACTTCTACTCTACCCAACTAAACACAACGGAGTACGTAACAATTCAGTATGCGTAGGAAATTCCAGCTATCTCTATACATGTTAAGAACTTTCTATCGGATGACTTACTCCCAAGAAACTTCCACATGAGCTCCTCACTCTTGAATGTTGTTCCAGAAAACCCTTTGAGATCTATGGTTGAATATCTTTGACAGTCCCACTCCCTGGTGTTATATACCTTTATTGATTATTTCGAAAACAGCTTTGTATTAGTAGAGATCAGACTGCTGTGAAATAAACTAGAATCTTGGCTAGCAGGTGGTTATTATAATAACTGACACAACTAGAATGTATAATGATACCATAAATCATTACATAACTAGGAGTATTATTATGCATCTTGAAAATAAGAACCAATTATTTCCCATAAATTCGTTAAAGGATGTAAACCCAGAGGCATCTATAACTTACTGTTACCATTGACGGGAGGTTGAAGGTTGTGAACACTTTTAAAATGACTTGCAATATCATGTGTAGTACGATTAGGATCACCTTCTGTTTGAATTGCACAAAATGGACAAAGTACTTCTGAATCAATAGCATTAGGATGATGAGTAAAAACATGACTTGATAAAGACGACTCTGTAAAGCCTAACTGGCCACATACTGAACAAGTGAAACTTTGAACAGAATATTTAGTTGAGCTCTTTAAAAAAATAAGTAATCAAATAAAAGGAACTATAAAATAAGAAAGATTAATGAAATGCATGAAACGATCCTTTGAAAACGATGTGTAAAAGATCCAGATTTTTTTTAGCTAACAGATTGTCTTGCAACCATTTAAACAGCTATCTACAATACAACCTAATTTCTATATTTTACAGGTAAATACATTCATCTGTCATAAGTATTCTTTTGAGGATCTGGTATGTCAATGAATACTTTATGAAAGTGTCAGCTGTATTGCAATATACAGCAGTAAATACCAATCAAAATAAACTGATGAGTACAAATGGTTTACATTGTTTACTAAAACTGTATATCAAGCAACCGGAAGAACACACTGCTTATTTGGATTGAGCGAATATAATATTGGTTTTAAAAAATGAGCATTTCAAGTTCAAATCTATAGCTTAACTTGCTATGGACTATAGTGGCAAACATCAAATATGAATAGCTGATCGAATCGTGTAAAAGAAAGGAAATGTGGTTTAAAAGGTGTCATTTGGCCTACAAGTTTGGGCCTGTACTGATGACCAATTAAAAGCAGCTTTGATTGTAAACAACGAGACCCGACACAGAACACCTCTTGATATTTTCCTGGACATCTTTGAAACCAAACCCCCTGAAACGGACAGGCTAGTCTCGATGTAAGCAGAGTGATACCACTTCTTTATTGCCTAGAAGATCGACAAATTGAAAGTATAGACCAGTCACACGGTTGAGGTGGAACTTAACACCAGATCCTACGAATCTGCTCAAAGGAGGGTGTTAGTGGGATATTGATTGGACCAATGTATGTCCCGTGCAGGATTAAGTTGGTCATTTCTTAACCGATCAACGACAGAGGGTACTTGGAGAACTCATAACAGTTGTCTAGATAAAATTAGATCAAAATGTCTGAAATCTAGTCCAATAGACGAAGATTGAATACCTAAACTACCGAGTTAAACTATACTGGAACTGGGATTGTCATCTGCTATAAATCCTACTTATCTGGCATTTTTAAACAATATTTTTCGTGATAAAAATCAATGTACATATATTGAAAACTAGAAAAAAGTTACTCACCTCACCACAGTAAAATACATTATGATCTGCTTTAGTGATCAAACATTGCATCGGATGAGAATTTAAATGCTTTTCAGTTTCTTGTTGATTATCAAAACAGGTCCCACAAAGATCATAGTCACGACAAATTAGACACTTATATCGCCTAAACCTGAAGTCTCTTCGTGAACATCCGTTACAAGTCACACCTTGATGTGAAAAAAAGATTTTTAAAGATTGCCAGAACTTTTACAAAAGTTTACAAAGTATTTTTAAAAAATGGACCCAGTAACTGATAACTTAATTGTGAGATCAACTGGCTTAATAAAAAGATAGTACGTAACTGTTCAAACTCATAACCTAGTACTAAAAACTAATGAATTACATCTGCATCAGTAATGCTGTAACGTGTTTGGTGACAGAATTTTGCGTATTAGTTATAGAAGTCTCTATATTCGGGAACAAGGTGAGTTAGGAGAGTAAGTTCCTAAAAAATAGCACAATGATTTACTTTATTTTCTAATTAAAGCACAATCATTTAATACAACAGAAACCAAACGTTGAATATAACAACTTTTAGGTCAGAAAGACCGAGCTTCATATAGAAGAAACAATCATAGCATGGACCATCATTTAGCCCTCTTTATTTCCATCCAGTTAGGATCTGTCAGCAAATATCAAATGTTTGCAATTTTAGTCTCATGAGAAGTTGCTGGTCAAATATCTAGTAACATTTTGTATCATCAATCAACTATCATTTGATTTATCACTTTCAGCAGTCATAAAGTACTCACATAAATGCTAAAACTTTGATCTAGTTTCATTTTAAAAATCATAATAAAGACGGGACGTATTTGAACTTAGCACTTTTGGTTCAGAATGTAGTTTCTGAATATAACTTCCATACTCATATACAGTTTTCCAGGCGAAAAATCAGAACTAGATTGTTAAACATGAGTTCTTAGCTTAGAGAGCAAGATGAAACAATGAAAGACATCAGCAAGTTGGGACGTGATGAGTATGTAATTTTTTTATTTGATTATTTGAACATAAATATTGGTACGAGGGGGCACCAAATACATATGCGCCACACAGTAACAATGAGATTGTGAAGAGACAGAGAATGTAAAGTGCGTATAATAAGAAGAGCAACAACGAACAGAAATTAGTGTATGAGTGAAATAATAATAATAATGAGAGAAACAGTCCAATCAGCGAAAGTATAACCAGAAGGGATTCTTTCAGTTAAAGAAGTTACGTATTCTTTTTATGAAGAAAGTAAAATAAAGTTACAGCAGCATCACCACTGACTTCTATTCTGAGCCATATCTGATAACGTTTCAAGCCACCATCTCTAGGACCCTAACCAGGAAGTCATGATGAACAAACAGAAGCCAGTCCTGTACAGCTCTCTTTCATACCACGACACTGACCATCTCCAGTGGGTCTCAGCGCCGGAAAGTGATGGATGACGTGGAATTTCCTGGGACGACATCCGTAGGACATGTCCAAGATAGTAACAAAAAGTTGTCTAACATCCTCAACTCGGAGAGACCAGATTTCACAAGCATAGAACAAAACTGCTCTCACCGACCTTTTACAGCCAGAAAACCTTGTCTAATACCACTACTTGCATGAAACAATGAAGAGAGGTGGTTGTATACCCTCACTCTGACTTAGGTGCTTGTATACGGGGCGTTCAAAATGTTAATAAACTTCTCAGGCACACCCTTCTTCAATAAGCAATCTCCGACAACAGCTCTGTCCAACTAATCGAAGACGGCCCTAATGTTAAGAACTGCTAGGATTTTTGACCTGTAATAAGTATGACGGAAGTCCTACTAACTGCGTTCTCGCGGCGATGATGTTGTTTACGAAATCGAGAAGACGGAAAGCGGACTTCCAAGTTCGTGGGCATGGAGGATCTATCTAAGGCGGTTGGAAAACCTTGATTCCAAACCAATGGTGTAGATGAGTTTCAGGATTCTGAGGGAACAAGTGACGTATGAACCTGTTATTAGTCACCGATCACCGTGGGACTGCATCTTCCAACATTACCCAACTGCCTTGTGAATTAGATATCTGGGTTAAAGGCCTAGAAATCGGTCCTCTAAAATAACCACTTGCTTCAGTTTGGGCACTCCGGCAGCATTACAGCCCTGGCACAAATCAATGGTAACTACGACTGAAAAATCTCTTGCTTCGAAGCTCTCTCTGACAAATCTTATTTACAAACATTTGATAACATTCACTTATGTATTCCTCTCTATCCTCACTTTGCTTACTTTATTTTTTAACTTATACAGCAGCTTGCCTGTGGTGAAAACCCTGTCTTATCTAAACGATCTCAGGTCACTGAATGGTCGAAAGTTGAATGTTACCACCGACTACGAATACTGAAAGTCTTTCTGAAACCACGTATACCGTTCAAACTGGCCTCCAACGTTAGCACACTAACCCAAACCAAACAACAGATAGGGTTGACTATGTCTTTAGAAAGTCACAACACCGATGTTCGTTGTCTATCCGATATCCATATTCAACACTCTAGTGAAGTACCACTAAGTAGGAAGAAATCCAGTCAGTCAGTCAGTAACAACGTAGAACTTCGTACGTACGTACATCAGTTCGAGTTGCCACACCACATTAGCACAGAGATGCACTTGTCGATTCAAATCCCGTAGTGATAGAGGTAATAAGAGTATAAGCAGTAATCGGGAAGATTAGGGTTTGGAGATGTTATTCAAGGACTATAATCCAGTGAAATAAATTTGGAAAGAGGAAAAAAGGGACATGAAGAATTCAGAAGATTAGAGTTTGGGAGAACACAGAGAGTGGATGCACCTGCGCCATTGCAAACGATTTTGAGCCATGTCATTCAGGGTCTCTAACCATCGGTTGCTATCATCTCGCGGTCCCCAACCAGGTAGTCTACACCTACCAACATGACTCAGTTCACTTGTCAGTGACTTCATGAACTTGTGCCATGTTTTGGTTTGGCCGCCCCTAGCTTTCTTCCAACCTACTCCTATACCACTGAACATAGCACGTCGAGGCAGTCGGTCGTAGGGCATACGTAACACGTGTCCCAGCCATCTCAACTGATGAAGTTTCACTACCCCATCAATTGATTTGCCATCTTTACCTAGTCTGTGGCAAGCCCATTTGGCCACGGTATCATCTGTCTATTCATTGTAACTTAGACTCTTAATTCACTATGTTAATTTCGGTGTGTATGATCGAATGCATGTCTGTACATTAACTTTTAAACTATTTTCCTATTGGTTTCAACGTGCAGATAATCGATAATTTATCTACACCCGATTAACCCTCAAATATATATGGATTTTTAACAAACTCACACTCTCTCTGTTCCCATCGTGTGCTTGCTCACAATACGCTTGCGGATTATCATTATTCATTAATAATAAACTATCTCCATAACTGGTGTTCAGGCTTTTTAATAATCTCGAGTAAATCCGTAATTCTACTAGGAGATTAAGCCTACCTTAAATACTCAGTTACGGAATATTATTATTTGGAGTCAGATATTAAGGACATTATCCTTAACATATTGGTGACCCGCCTTTAGAACGCGCACCATTTTCCTCCAAAGTCTGCTGCATTCTCCTCAAGAGTATCATAAAGAACTTCATATTGGAATTATTATTATAATTAATAACAATCCATTGACAGTCATAATAAATTCACTCATAATATTTTCCCTTTGGAATTATTACTGTATATTCTCATACATATACCCAAAGTGACAATTTTTCTTTTCGGTGAGTCTTATATATATTTTGTTGTTGTTATTTTTGATTTCTCTTCATATTGTATATTACAATCCTCAGCTTATTATTACTATTGCTTTTTCGTATCATGGCACTTGATAATTCGTTAAGCCTTTCATCTAAATCTATTTCCGTGGGTGCCATCTCTGTACCTTTACCCATTTTTAATCCACGAAAGGCTGAACTCTGGTTTGCTCGTTTGGAAAGCTTTTTTGTTGCAAACAAAATCACAAACCAGAGTACGAAATTTAGTTATGCGAATTCACTGCTGCCAGATGACGTCATTGAACAAGTGCCGGATGTCATTTTTAAGCCGGATCCTGACTCACCATTCGATTGTCTAAAAAGAGAGGTCATTCGTGTCACATCTCTCACCGACCAACAGACAATTGATCAACTTTTAGCCAACGTAGAGCTAGGTGACAATACACCGTCACAGTTAAAACGCCACATGACAGACTTATTAGGAAATCGTACAGTAGACAAACGTCTACTATATCAACTGTGGCTCAGACGTCTCCCTCAAAACATTCAACAGATACTAGCAATTGGAGACGAAGACGTTGATTTTGATAGACTAGCAGACATAGCCGACAGAATTTACGAACGGTCCAAGACTCACCTTGTATCTCAAATCCAATCAAGCTCAGCTGACGAGATCGCCGAGTTACGACGATCAGTTGATACCCTTACGAAACAGATAGCTCAGATCCAATTATGGAATGCCTCCCACAGCAAGCGTAGAGGAACATCCACAAGCCGTAGACGACGTAGTCCAAGCACTACTAGACACAACATTTGCTGGTACCATAGAACATATGGCAAACAAGCTAGAAAATGTACTCCGCCTTGTAACTTTGCAAGCACACAGAAAAAGGAACGTCAAGACCGTAGGTTAATGACGACTGCACTCACTGACCACAACTTTCAAGACAGTCGTCTATTATATGTTACAGACAAAAGAACCGGCACACAGTTTTTAGTCGACACTGGGGCAGAGGTTAGTGTAGTACCACCTACTGCACTCGAGAAAAACACACCTGACCCCAAACTAAAACTACAAGCTGCAAACAGGTCTGACATCAAGACGTACGGAAAAAGGCGGTTGCAATTAAATTTCGGTCCTAAATCTAATTTTTCCTGGAGTTTCATCATAGCGGACGTCCTCGTTCCTATAATCGGCATTGATTTTCTGCAATTCCACAAAATACTGGTAGATGTCAGAAATAGGAAACTTGTCCTTGCCGAACAGAGTAAGGAAATTAGAGGAATTATATCAAATGAGACTTCCATACATTTATTAGTTAAACCTCATCATGAGAACGACAAATACGTCAATTTACTTAATCAGTTTCCAGATTTATTACGACCGAGTTTCAAACACGACAAACCGACGCATACCGTCGTACACCACA